TCCATGGTATTCTTCGTAATTATGACCCCATAACCCAAATGTACATTTTCTGCCCCATCACCAAGACCTTCAACGCCGAAGAATCCCGACCCTTCCTTATCCCGCACGAGTTCCTACAACCTATAGAAATCCCAATTTTAGAATTCATCCACAACACTAAATTTAACCACAAATTATATAACTTAATCCAAAACACACCTTATGAGTTTGCAGTAGGCACTGAAGAACTAACCACTATTAAGGCACTTCAATTGCTTTGGCCACTGCTTCAAACTAAAAATATCATCCGCATCTTAGCTAAACTACTAACAACTTCAGAACTAATTCACGACATCTTCCCCCACGGTTTTTTCCCCGACGACTAACAGGTAAGTATGAATTAAGTAAATATTACTAACTAATTAAAATATTGAAAAAACTCACCATTCTTTATTCATGTTTTCTTTAGATTTTTAGCCTTCATCCTCGATCATCTGAAAAATTCACAAAAGAAAAATAAAAAATAGCAAACTTCTTCAAAACTGTTTAAGACCCTATTAAACTTTTGCACCAACAATTAAATAAATATAATACCAATGCAGTAAATTAAATTATAAAATTTTCCCCCAAAGCAGTAAATCTAATTATGATGAAAATTTGTATCTTAAAATTCCCCCATAACTAGCAGTAAATTTCCAAATTCTATGCAGTAAATTAATAAAATGCAATTGCAGTACTAACCTTTTGATATTTTCATTCATTCGCACAGAAATTCTATCCACACTCGCACAGCTCGCCCACGAAGAATTGTTTAAAATAATGAATTTCAGTTTCAAGTTTTCACACTCAACAACTCTAACATACAATAACATGTTTCAAACTTTCCTTTAACCCGGTTGGAAAGGAATCATATACTAAACAAAACTAACCAACGCAGCTTACTAAATACCACAAATCATAGAATAACAGCATGACTAAGAAACGGAAACCAACGGTACCCAAACCGGATTAACCCAGTTTAAAACTGGATAATTTATTCTTTTGAAGACTATTACAAAGTCTTAGAAAGAAATAATAAAACACAAAAAAGTCGAAAGACAAACCCATACCACAAACAATTTGCTTTTTGGAAAAAGTACATAACCAACAAGACATAAGTAAGACCACAACAAACCCAACATAAAACGTTGTCACATAACAGGACCCCTCACAAAAACCGCATGAAATCATACTCCCACACCTGGCCTAACCCACCAGGAAGGACGTCCTGAGCATGCTCTATAGCCGGCCTAACCCACCGCGCTACATCCACGCTTTGTGACCACACCTTTATTTTTAATAAGAGCTACTCAAGGGTGAGTAACTCTTCAAAATAACCGAACTAAAACAAAAAGCTTTTGTGAAAACAACTAACTAAAATCATTATTAAAAAATATTAAACTAATAAAAGTTTTATAAAATGTAAAATCACATGATGCAATATATAGATCAGAATACAACACCAAGGACGAACATCAAAAGACAAGACGACCTCACTACACTCGAGAGAGAATGACCAACTACAATCGATATGCCGCTCACAATCACAACTCAAAGGATTTAGAGTACGACTTGACTTCGCAGAAAAGGACTTCATTGAACTAGACCAATGACCACCTCGATGTTCAAGTATACGTACAGATCCGAGTAACCAGGCATCCCCTCCACGCACAATCTCCACGCCATTCCCAAGCTAGATCAGACACAAAGGAAGTTCTCCCCGAAGAACAGAAAAACCTGACATAGCCAACCATTCTGAAATCAGAATTGATTTTGTTGCAGAGTCTCAGTCGTTGTCACAAGAAGAAGCGGAAGAAAATTATGATGTTCGCCAAATACCAACGTCCATCATCCACCCTTGAATTACAGAAGAACTGTTCTAAAAAACTCTGTAAAACCCGGATGGGTGGAACCTGATCTAAACTATATTTTATGATTGGATAAATTAAATGTTTTACCAATGTAAAGTATTTAATATTAACCAATCATGATCCATCTAACTAACAACCCACTTATTTGTAAGTGCTGAAGTTACTTGTAATTTCAGCACCAGAGAGATTTGAATTTAACTTAGAAATTAGTTGGACTCTCCCGAGCACTTCAGCAGCCGCAATAAACCAGTATACCCTAGATCTATTGAGCCTAGCAGAGACTAGTTAAACAACCTGAGACTAGATAGTATAAGAGTAAGATTAGGATCGGTATTAGACTAAGAAGTTGCACGAATCTATCCGGCCGAAAATAAGATAGCGTGACGAGCAGACGGTGTACCCTATCCGAAATTACTCTATGAGTTATACACTCCAGTCTTAACTCACTACGCGTTAGTATGGAGAGAAAACGAGCTGCCGCAATATATGTTCGGTGTTAGGTGAGTAATCAAAAGATAATCCCACGTTTAACGCGTTCTGTTGCAACCAAGGCACTTCAGGTACTCATTTTCAAATTAAAAAAGCTTTTCAGATTTTACCACGTTTACAGAGACTTTATATCTAGTCAGTTCTTTAGGGGCACCATGGGCACTTAAAATGCACTAGCAGTATTTGGTAAGATGATGCCCAAAAGAAACTTCGACTGAAGTAGCACATTTGCTAGAGAATGCCCTGATGCTTCGCATGGATGGGCACGATCGCAAACAACGCAGCAAACATCATTTTTATTTCATGCGTGAAAAACAAAATTTCAAGACTTAGGATGAATGGTATCATGCGTTTTTTTTTCAAATATTTTTTAATGCTTTCTGATTCAAAGCTAATATAATTTGGCAGCCAGAAAGTTTTTTTTACTGTTAAACGACATGAAACATGTACTTTTTGAGCTTCTTCTTTATTTAATCATGTTAATAAGTATCAAATTACATGCAATTGTGCCCCTTTTTATCAAAAATTTTGAAAACTTGCTTTTTGCAATTAAAAAATCAGAAAGATGAAAAAATTTTAATTTATTTAATTTTTTTTCCATTATTTACTTATATGGCATGTAAGACTGTCTGATTCAGAAAAAAATTGTTTAATTGAACATTTTAGAAACAATTGCAGGTTTTGAAGTTTGTGGTTTTTTTTCAAAATAGCAGCAAAATTCTGATTGTAAAATGTGATCTGGTGGTAAATGTTTTTTCATTGAATTGTTTTAATGTTATTTTTTTATATCAGAAACGGATTTGATCATCTGCCGACTCAGGGCATCCTCCGTTTGAATTTATTTTGAGAACAATTCCCGTTTCTTGCGTTTTGGACTACGCTTTTCACAAAGACTAGGTTTTCAGTCATGCACCACCATATCTCATTTAAATAGTAATTTTAGGGAGAGCACGCCACAATTTTTTTTTCAATTTTTCAAAAACTGTCCCTAAAAATTGCCTGGGGCGCAGCAAATTCAGTCAAAGTAAGCTCCTTATACTGATTTAGAAAAACTCAAACAACCAATTTATTCAAATCAAAATACGGATAAATAATTTTTTGAAAAAATCTCATAAAACCTCTGCCTGCGGCGCAGAAATTTATGGCTAAAAAACCTTTAGATGTTTTGAAAGGGCTCGGAAATTCAACTTAACTGACTTAATTTTAAAACAAATTAAACAAAAATTTTGAATTGTCTCTTGAAAAACTTCCGCTCCCCCTCGAAAAGTTCAAAGATTCGCCCAAGTTAGCTTTTTCGCTCCTCATCAAAAGTGCTCGAGTCTTTGAAATATGTTAGTTCATTTTTTCAAGCAGATACATTAATAATGGTTTAAAATTAATTGATTGCAGTTACGAGAACCAATTTTAAGCGGATCAAAAATTTAGCATTGAAATTTCCTGATTATGAATCTTTTAGCAGAACACTGGAAATTAACAGAACTTTTATTCTTGAAAATTAGCCCACGATTTGTTAACAAACGTGATGTTTTTTGTTAACAGAACAAAAAAAAATTAAAAATAATGGTTAAAGCGTCAAACAACACTCGTGCCGCTATGTTAACGCAGCCAAGCAAGCAGTCATTATTTTCAATGACCTGTTTGAAGCTAGCACTCTGCATTATTTTTTTTGAGTCTGCTGATAAAACCTGTCTGTTAAAATATCTTTTGTCACAAACGCTTTGGAAAAGAACAAGGAAGCTTCGAACAGGCAAAAATTTCAAAATACTTTCCTTTAGGTAGAAAACAAGAGCAAACGGTTATTTCGGTAAGTCTTGAACAGTGTTTATTTAATTTATCCAAACAAGATGAACAAAAGAACGCGTTTTTCTAAAATTGGGTTTACTTAAAACAAAAAAGATGGTAACAAATTTTGCCTACAGTTCAAGCCGAACTTTTATAGTGCTTTTTGCAAACTTAGGATTCAAAATCTTACCCAATTCGGATCATTTTTGGCTTTTTTCAGTCAATCAAAAAATACACCAGAGTTACAGATTCAATTGCAGACAAAGTTTGTTTTTATGTTGTTTCAAAATTAATCTATCCCCTTTATAGCCCTACAATTTATGAGAAGGTTATAATCTCCAAAATTTTACGCAAAATAAATAACTGTTTTAAATTTTAGAAAAATTGGTAATTTTGATAGCAAGGGGGACACTTTCGGCTATCAAAGGAAAATAAACCTATTTATAAAAAAGTTCAGAAGATTATACACATCGTAATTTTTGAGCGGCTGCAGAAGATGCTCACTTTGAACTATTTTGTCTGCAATTGACCCTGTAGTGAAAAAACGAAAATTATTCATCTTTATGCAAAGTTGTGGGACCAAATTTTACAAAAAAAGTCATTTTAGTTCTGTTAAAATCTAAGCAAACAATGTTTTCATCATTTCTCATCTAAAATGGACATAATTTGAGTCAAACTGAAAAAACAATTTTGCCCTCTTTTTTTATTAAACTGCTCGGGTTAACTTGTGATTTAATTGTTGTAATAGAAACTCTGTTAGTTACGCAAAAACGTTAGAACGAATAAGTTTTTGGGTTGTCTCGCATAGCCGTTATGTTGTTCTGTTAGAAGAAAACCTACTCGAAAAGTTTCATGTAGGAAGGAAGATGGCTCGAAGATGGCTCCTGAAAAATTCAGTAACAATGAACGATGTGCATTTCAAAATACTCAGACTTAGAAGTATCAACAAATCTAAAATCTAGTTAAAAAACGCTCAAAAACACTTGAAAAATGAAGATACCTTGTTACCACATGAAAGCTGGTACAAGTCAATTTTCCAACAGTACCATGCCAAGCTCGGGTACTCTGGTAATGGTTTGGATACCGCATATATTGTCCTTGGAATCCGCATAATTTGCGTTGGATTTCGCAAAATTTTGAAAAGCTTACTAAGTCGGAAATCTGATGGAATCAAATGACAAATGATAAACCACTAGGCGCTAAAAGTAAAAATTAAAATCCAGCTAAAAGCGAGAAAAAATTTGGAATCCAGTGACAATGCAGATTTTGGAGAAAAACGCTGCGACATTTTTGGATTACGCAAACAAATTGAAGCAAAATGTTGCTGGATTCCACTGCTGGATTTCACTGCTGTGGATTTCGCAATCGTTTTGTACTTTTTGTCGCTGGAATCCTCAATGCTAAGACACAAAAACGATCTTTCCGCGGAGTCCAGACGCGTGAAAGCACAAATAAGTGCTTAGTTATAGAACCGAGCTTGACGCAGCAGCGAACATCTATGATGAAACTGATTTATAATTACCTGTGGAGTTGTGATAGTTAAAGCTCTTTGGGACACCGAAATCAAGTCTTCGGCTATTGACTCCGAATCGCCTTCGTTGACAGTTACACTCTGCGGTTCGAACGCCACGTTGCTCGTTTTCCTTCGGGCTTCTCCGGGGACAGTCAGGCCGAGGTTCAAGTTCGACTCTCGGGCTGAGTCGGGGAGCAGCGATTGAGATCCCGTCAGAAGGTGCCGTTTCTCGTCGCTTTCAGGGGACTCCACTTTTTTACCCGATACTGATTTGAATATCAAAACTGTTTTTTTCTGGGTTTTCATAATTGCAGTTGTTGGGAGAGTAATTAGTATATAGTGAACAAGTATCAAGACTGTTTTCACTGGTTTCCTGAAACAAAGAAAACAATGTTTTAAAAATTATACGGAAACTGTTCACTAAAATAGTCTCAGTTCACAAAAATGCAATGAAAAATGCAGCTTTTTCAAATTTCTAAACTTAAATTGGTGCTTGGCAAAGAAAATAGAAGATAATTTTTGGTATGCTCATTATTCGATAACAACAAATGCCAAAGAAGAATTTATCAATGATAGTGGTTTCGAAGTGAACTAGTTCCGAGTTCTTTCGCTCTCTGTCCTATCATCGCGTGCGTTTAATTTTGATCGGTTCATTTTCTATCAATTTTTTTGTTTACTTACCATACAACCAGTCGCATTAGGTAGTAGGGCAGTTTGATGGACACAAAATAGGGCAGTTTCAGGATGAAGAAGAAAACTATTCTGAGCAGGAACATCAGAAGAGTCCACGGTGACATGATTAAAGCCCTCAATGCCCGTTTTGTCATGTCGCACGACCAGCCCATGAAGCGTTTCGCCACAGACTGTTTCTTCCTGAAACCATTCTCTCATAACTTTGGCAAGAATTTATGCTTTTTTAGTTTGTTAATGAATTTTTTGAATTAAAGTCTCTTTTTAATACAACTTTTTCTTGTAATACTGGAGTATATCACTTCAAAGTTGTTATACCGTTTCGAACAATAACTCTAACTGTTAGATTCAACAAAAATTCCTAAACTTATATTAAAAGTTTGTCGGTAAAATAACTAGAAATATATAGACGCAATAATTGATATCTAAAAAAAACGAAACGATTGGGCTGAAAACCTCGTGCTTCTCTTGCATCTCCGGGAAAAGCCCAACCTTTGACTTTAACTTAAGTTTTGCAATAACAGAATCAAACTACAATTAATGGATAGTTTGAACTGCAATTATGCATTATAGCTTTTTGCGTGAAAAAAAAAGAAAGTAGTGAAATGATTGGTTCTCACGTGGCGGGTAAGGATGAATCGGCGTCTTCTGGGTTTAGGGACCTGGTATGTTGCATCTCATAGATGGTGTCCTCACAGAAGTTGATGAAAGTCTCCAGTTTTTCCATGTCAGGCATGCCAACCACTCCGCTGAACAAAAACTCTCTCTTCGATTCCTAAGCATACGAAAACATGTTGTAGTTATAAGCTTGAACAATTAATTCAACTTTTTTCAACTCTATATCCTCAAGGTCACTCCAAACACAAAGTTTGTAAATTTTTCAAGCTTCCAGTTTGTACATGCTCATAGTTTCATATTTTTTTCATAATAGCATCACTCTAATTTTGAGACTAAACGATTACTGGTTGGTATAATGTAGTAGTTCCTGCGAATCGCAGTGGATTTATCATTAGGCCTTTAACAGTCCTGTCGAGGATAGTCCATTTGTATTATCTCCCCACATTCTAGATAGTGTTATTTTGTTGAGCGAAGCTCTTTTTTGCGACTCAAGGGCGTTTTTGTGCGTCTAGAACTTTCACGTTGCCAAATTTGGTCAGGTTGTGGTAGACCTGAAGCTAGAGGTAAAGTGAGAGCTCGTCCTCACACACTATCATTGCCATGGCATGGGATCGAGTACACGATCTGACGATTCTAAAGTAAACGCCTTACCACTATGCTAAGTGCCCCCAATAATGGTATAACTGTTCGGCTGACCTTGATTGTTTCGGCCTCCCATGAGGATTTGTTCTCCTCGGAAATTTCAAAATAAACTCTTTCAATTCGCTTTGTGCCTCCTAAGATCTCGATCCTTCCCAGTTGGTCTTCAAAAATATCAACCAAGTCGCTGGCAGCCTCCACTAACTTCTCCAGTCTGGCGTCGTTCGTTGTGTGCTCGGACAAATTTGTGAATAAAAGTGCGATGTTGAAGCTGAAACAGATTTTCTATCAGTCAGAAAACGAATTTAACGAATCAGAATCCATATCGTACAATATCCGAAATGGAAAACTATCTCTTGTCTTCGCATGAATAGTAAAATCTATAATGGTGTCAATTTTTTGCTTAAAGAGTCCAACACAGCTCAAACTTGAATTCAGGATCTCTGTTTGAATCAGAGAGCCAACGCTTTTTTGTTGACATAATAAGCCATGGATAAGAAATAAAGCTCTGTATCGAAATTGAAAATCAGTCTGGAACTTAACCTCTGTTTTCACTTAGTCAAACGCTCGGTGGGTTGAGGCCCGCCATCATTCGTGCTTGTTGGTTGAAGATGCAAAGCCATTGCCGATCTCAAAAATGAACCCAAAATATGCATGCAGTTCTCAATAAAGGGCAGACCAGCATTTCTCCACAAAAATCCGAGCAACTCGCATGGTGGTCTCAACCCAATCCCCCCCTCCCCCCGACTTGAGAGTCGTACTTTTTTTTCATTGATGATCATTATCTAACCCGATTTCGCTGGCTGGATCGGAGAAGCGCTCGGAGAACTCCTTGTAAGAGATGCGTCCGTCACTGTCCTTGTCCGCACACTCCACCAGGAAGCTCATCTGCTCCTCCGAGTACACCTTCTGACTCTGCAACACCCACCTGAACTCACTCGGCTGGATGATGCCGTCCCCATTCAAGTCATAATCCTACAGCAGCAAACATCACAACAGATAGGAATCGCAGAGGAGCTATCAGTAGACCTTAACAGTCCTGTCGAGGATAGTCCGTTTGTATTATCTCCCCACATTCCAGACTGCGTTATTTTGTTGAGCTCTTTTTTGCGACTTAAGGCGTTTTTTTTGGTTGAAGACGCAAAGCCATTACCGATCGCAAAGTATGCATGCAGTTCTCAATTAAGGACAGAACAGCTGTTCTCCGCAAAAATCCGAGCAGCTCGCATGGTGCCCGCCCCCCCCCCCCGTGCGACTCAAGGCTCATTAATGCAAGACCGCTTTTTTCAGATTTGTTTTAAAATTGCCCCGCACGCTATGTTATGTACATAATGGTACGTTTTTCGCCTAGTAACTTCTAAACAAGACTACTCGTACCCAGAGGCGGATTTAGGGGGGGGGCGATGGGGCGGGCGCACCTCACCTCAGGGATTCGACCCCCTGCCGACTCAAAGGGTCCCCTCTTTGGTACTTTTTAAGAAATCCATTTTTGGCCGACCTAAAAAATGTCTTAAAAAATTTTATTCGGCGCCAATATATACTAAGTTGGGGGGGGGGGGGGGGGGGGGGAGCACGCGCCAAAAAATCGCAATTTTTTTTGTCAAAGTTTTCCAAAAAGTTCCGAAAAACGGCGCTTTTTTGATCTGTTTTTTTTTCAAACAATTGTTTGCGGCGCTGAAAGTTTCGCGAAAACAGCGTCTTTTTAGTGCATTAGGAGAGGTCGGAAAATCAATTTAGTCGAACTAAAAAAAAAGGTCAAAATTTTCGAAAAAATTTTGAAAATCCGCCCCCCCCCTAGAGAAAATCCTAGATCCGCCCCTGCTCGTACCAAAAAATTTAATAATTTCGAATTGTTTTTTGCTCAATAAATTTATTTGACTTGTTTATAACTTATTTGCGATTTTTTTAAAGTTTGACTATTAGCTCCTCTTTCAGTTTTGATTATGTCTCGTGAATGGTATAGTAAACAAACCAGAAATGAATAGGGGTGGCATCTTTCATGATGTAAGGACCGAACGACGTTGGAAATTAACCTTCAGTTATTTTCAGCCAATCAGAATTGAGTATTCAGAACTCGCAAAAATCAGAAATCGCAGGTGGAGAAATAAATTCAGGCGAAAAAAAAAACGAAATTGATCAATTGCAAATCAAAAAGATACATTTTCAAACTTTGCTAGATCGAGGACACATTGAAAAAACTTAATACTTCGGGGGTACCAAATAAGATAGCGAAAATTGAAAAACCAAAAAGTTATAGACTTGCACGAAAACTTAGCCGTCCCAGTATACTTGATTTTCTGCTAAGTTTGAGTTCTAATTTTTGTAACCATCAATCAACAAAAAGAAACGTCTAACGGTTCTGATTGGTCGAAAATTTTTCATCATTCGTTTCCTCCATCATGAGAACACCCCCCCCCCCCCCCCCCACAAATTTTAATCACTTAACTTTTAAATGTTTTATAGTCTCAATTGATATTTCAGCAACTTCTATCTGCCGTGCATTTTTTGCGAAAAGACCATCAAGTTCAACATGAATCAAGTGTCTACAATCTGTCAAAGATTTCTAATTCTCAAAACAATAAACAATAAAGTTAACTCAAAGCAACTCTAAGGAAATTCGGACGCAATAAGTAAGAAAACTCGACAACATGACAGTAATTAACATCCGCGCAGATAGCGCAAAGGATCCGCAATCACCTAGCAGGCTATTTACAGAAGTTCGAACCTGCAACGAGTGACAAACTAATCGTTGGCTATTTAGTATTGTTTTTTTGGCATTTATTTTTTGATCTTAATTTTTCTGAAACGGTAGAATACTGTTCACATATCTTTGTCTTTTTTTGGAATAGAAATGGGTTCTGTTCTGATCCCGAGCAATTTGGAAAAGTTTCAAAATTATTAGAGTTTAGAGTTACCAATCATAAAACCACGCGCTAGTTGTTTGTCTAGGGGTCTAAGACTTCTTTTGAATATTTATATAGATGGGGGGGGGAGCACGCGCCAAAAAATCGCAATTTTTTTTGTCAAAGTTTTCCAAAAAGTTCCGAAAAACGGCGCTTTTTTTATCTGTTTTTTTTTTTCAAACAATTGTTTGCGGCGCTGAAAGTTTCGCGAAAACAGCGTCTTTTTAGTGCTTTAGGAGAGGTCGGAAAATCAATTTAGTCGAACTAAAAAAAAAGGTCGAAATTTTTGAAAAAGTTTTGAAAATCCGCCCCCCCCCCCTAGAGAAAATCCTAGATCCGCCCCTGCTCGTACCAAAAAATTTAATAATTTCGAATTGTTTTTTGCTCAATAAATCTATTTGACTTGTTTATAACTTATTTGCGATTTTTTTAAAGATTGACTATTAGCTCCTCTTTCAGTTTTGATTATGTCTCGTGAATGGTATAGTAAACAAACCAGAAATGAATAGGGGTGGCATCTTTCATGATGTAAGGACAGAACGACGTTGGAAATTAACCTTCAGTTATTTTCAGCCAATCAGAATTGAGTATTCAGAACTCGCAAAAATCAGAAATCGCAGGTAGAGAAATAAATTCAGGCGAAAAAAAAAACGAAATTGATCAATTGCAAATCAAAAAGATACATTTTCAAACTTTGCTAGATCGAGGACACATTGAAAAAACTTAATACTTCGGGGGTACCAAATAAGATAGCGAAAATTGAAAAACCAAAAAGTTATAGACTTGCACGAAAACTTAGCCGTCCCAGTATACTTGATTTTCTGCTAAGTTTGAGTTCTAATTTTTGTAACCATCAATCAACAAAAAGAAACGTCTAACGGTTCTGATTGGTCGAAAATTTTTCATCATTCGTTTCCTCCATTATGAGAACACACCCCCCCCCCCCCCCCACAAATTTTAATCACTTAACTTTTAAATGTTTTATAGTCTCAATTGATATTTCAGCAACTTCTATCTGCCGTGCATTTTTTGCGAAAAGACCATCAAGTTCAACATGAATCAAGTGTCTACAATCTGTCAAAGATTTCTAATTCTCAAAACAATAAACAATAAAGTTAACTCAAAGCAACTCTAAGGAAATTCGGACGCAATAAGTAAGAAAACTCGACAACATGACAGTAATTAACATCCGCGCAGATAGCGCAAAGGATCCGCAATCACCTAGCAGGCTATTTACAGAAGTTCGAACCTGCGACGAGTGACAAACTAATCGTTGGCTATTTAGTATTGTTTTTTTGGCATTTATTTTTTGATCTTAATTTTTCTGAAACGGTAGAATACTGTTCACATATCTTTGTCTTTTTTTGGAATAGAAATGGGTTCTGTTCTGATCCCGAGCAATTTGGAAAAGTTTAAAAATTATTAGAGTTTAGAGTTACCAATCATAAAACCACGCGCTAGTTGTTTGTCTAGGGGTCTAAGACTTCTTTTGAATATTTATATAGATATATGGGTATCTCAAGCCTCAGCCAAAACCAAGTACTAAAGCTTATGGGTACAGTATTGTAGGTAAGACAATCAGCGGCTTCGATGCGCAATTCGGAAAGATTTTGAATGCCTGTAAAAAAAGAGCCGAAAAACCAATAACAATTAAACAAGTACCAATAAAAAAAGCAGAATCATGAGAAATCATTGCGCTAGTTAGGACAAAGTGTTATTAAAATAAGCTTCTATTCATAAATGTGACTGGCTGACCTGGAAAGCGACCCCGGATACAATCTGGGAGTACTTGAGGAAGGTGGTGAAGAACTGGAGAACATCCTGCACATTCTGAGAGCATAGAGCGAGAGTGTCCACCATCTGCTTTCCTATGGGTCCATTCAGCACATTGCCCTCCAGCATAGACAGCAGTAGTGTCACCATCTCCTTCTGAAGGTCCATCAACTCACGCAGAAATTCCATCTGCTCAGGGTCCTAAAAGACACAAAAATTTAATAACCGAGTCGAGCCGAGCCGAGCCGAGCCGAACTGAACCGACGTTGAAAATTCTTGAACCACTGAACCCTACCTATAAGTAACAATAAAGCTGTTTTCATTACTTTCTTTCTCGTTCCCTGGTTGAAGTTCCATTGCAATTCAGAAATGTATCAATGTTATTGCATTGTTTTGACATGCTTCAGGGATGTATCAGCACAAATACATAGATTTACTCTGATTTAACTATGTTCATTTTTTACCCTTAATTATGAAAAAACATTGATGTGACATCGATGAAATATCGATGTGACATCTATGTTGTTAACGTTTAGATACATTGATGTGACATCGATGAAACATCTATGTCACATCGATGTTTAAAATCAATTTCATGTTTTACGAAATGGCGCTTTGTTTTCAAACTTTTGTTATATGTCGTAACAAACTATTAAAAACGATTAAAATAGCTTTACAGTATGAAAACAGCTAGAAACCATGTAAACGCGCGTTTTTTTGAGAAAAAAAAGAAATTCAGCTTTACCTTCAGGGTCAACCTTGGGAGCAACAGGGATGAAGCAACTGAATTTAATTGGAAGTGGTTGATTTTGTTTATAAAAACAATAAAATAATAATTTTTGTTCAAAATTTGTATTCCCCCCTCCTTCACAGCTTAAAACATCCTAAAAACGCAGTTTTATTTGCTAAAAAGTTGAAATGTGTTAACGTTGGTAGATAAAAAGGTTGAGCAACTAAATTTTCCTGTAGACAGGGCAATTCTTGGTTGAAAAATAAAAAAAAAAGTTGATTTTTTAAAAATTGATGTATTCGCTCACAGCTACAAGTAAGCTCAAAGTTGGTCAAAGTTTGGGTTTTAATTAATTTCAAGTTGTATTTATATTTTAGATTCGAGTGATCTTGTTCTTTGTTAAATTTTTTCAGCTTTTAGAAGGTGCTCCAAATTCATGCCATAAATAGCGTGGATGCAAAAAATGAAAGATCTAGGATACATTTCTGAATTGAAATTCAACTTCAACCCGGGCACTGCTTGTTAAAAAGTTCGACATCTACTGGACAATTTATCTCTTCTTGCAAAAAGGCGGAAATTGTACTGTAGGTTATCCAACCAACCAAAATGAATAAAACATATATTTCTCAGCGAATAAAAACGCAACGCATAACACGCAAAGATTTGACTTATTGAAAATCAATGGACCTGTTTGAAGATGATTTATGTTTAGGGGTAAAGATTGTATAGTTACTAGCATGCGGGAGGGGGGGGGGGCATCCGGATCCAGGTAATCCAGGTAGTGTAAGGTGGCAATAATTGTTTTAATCAACTTGGTATTTATTATATTTAGCATTTGTTTGATTGTCTAGCAGTCAGCAGTCAAATAGAACTAACCTGTGATAGTTTCAATTGTAGGTTTGCGAATATGTGGAAGAAACCAGACACTGCATCCCACAGTCTGGAGTGGGTGAGTGCCAGCTGGTTCCCAGTACAGGGTCCTTGGATCATCTCCGTCAGAGAGGCGAACACCTGGAAATGAAACAGAAATCATGAATCGTTGCTCGATTTGAAGCACAACGACCGACGTCTCTTGCTAACACCTAGTTTTTGACCAGGAACTATCAAAAAAGCCATACTCTATTGCACTCGCCGTAAATTTTGAGGTGAAAACTGCATCGAAAAACGGGTAAATAAGAAAAGAAAACGCAAGATTGTTCATGTCAAAAAATATCGCATGAGAGGCTGTGAGGAGGCAATGCCCTGGCAAGATGCCCTGGCGTAGATGCCCTGGCAAGATGCCCTGGCCTAAATGCCCTGTCAAGATGCCCTGGCATAGATGCCCTGGCCAAGATGCCCTGGCCAAGATGCCCTGGCCTAGATACCCTGGCGAAGATGCCCTGGCCTAGATACCCTGGCCAAGATGCCCTGGCAATGCCCTCGACTTTTCTAGATGCCCTGTCTTCACACAAACTCGGTATGTTTCAACTCTCTATGCTAGTCAAAAATATTCGACTTTGCTCAATCCAGCTTAGATTGTTTCAAATTTCTCGACGCCAAATTGGTATTTTATTGCTGCCTCGACATTATCATCCGAAAAAAGTGCCGTCTATCTGCTCGCAGCTCAAATATGTTTCGACTTTATGAACTAAAAATGCCCGGGTTGACCTCACACCGAAAATAATTGTCATACAATTTTCAAAAAACAATAGAAAAAATTAAACCATTTCTGCGGTTTTTTGAGAACAGTTGAACATTTAGTTTTTTGTGTGCATAACGTAAACCTGGATACGATAATATTGGCTTTTTTTCTTTTCTCTTAAAATTTTTTTCAGAAACGCTGAAAATTCCTATTTCTTTTGTATGCCGTGTTTATGCATGTCTTGATCAATGTTTGATAATTTGAAAATTCAAAAATTTAAAATAATCATCATTGAAAAGTTTGGGGGCTATTCTCATGCGCGAAGGACCGAATGAGCGAAAAATTTCAGCCAATCAGAAATCGTTTTTATTTTTCTACTGTTTTTTCTGGAATAAAACTAACAATTTTAATTCGAAAACAAAAACAGTCGAAAGTCAATTATTAAAATGAATCAATTGCCAAAGTTGGATAGTAAAACATATCAAATGAAATTGAATAATATACACAAATACCAAAAAAAGTTACCATAAAATTTACAAATTTCGAGAAACAATAGAAATATTGTTCAAATATTGATCCAGAGTTATTACACCAGTTTCATATGATTTTCTTAACCTCCGCATTTTTGCGTTCAGTTGCTGCCATTTGAATTTTTGTGCTGTTTGTTTTTCGCCTCGTTCAATTCTGGAAGAAACTGTCTGCATTTTTTTTCTTGAATTTTTGGAAAAAAAAACGTCCACAATGATGGCCTGACACGGGCAATTTCTCGGTCTAAACTTGAATGCCAGCTTTCGCACATATTAATAGTTCGTAAATTGTATGGCCTGTTGTATACATTTCCCATTTCCCATATTAATTTTTTTCTTCATCCAAAATTTTAGAAATGAGTAAAAAAGTTGATAATTTTTGGCACACCAATTGCAAGCGACTGGACTTCGTTGCTTTGTCTGAGTCAATCGTAGTAATTTGCTACTAAATTTTGAGGAACGAACCCCATGGCGAAAATTTTCCGCGAAAAATTTTGAAATTTTTGATCTTTTTGTAAGTTCGAGTCAACCCCAGGGCTTGAAATCATCAAAAATGGGCTGGGTGTAAGGGAAATAGCAACCATTATGGACTGTATATTTTTTCTTGTAACTTCCCTGAACTGAATTTGTACTGGTTTTGCTGTTTTCCTTTAAAAAGCGCCCAGCACACGGGAATTTTTTGCTTTCCAAAAACCGCAAAAAATGTATAAATTTGATCAAATGACCGAGGCGCAGTTTTAAATGTGCCATCGCGAATAATTGTATCCATTTTCAACAAAATTCCTAAAGCTTTTTTCGTTGCGAAAATTGCTAAACCCACATCGGTGTTGAGATTCATCAAAAATTTTCCGTTTTGCTGAGATAAAGCCCAGGATCCATCAATTGTAACGTCCAAATTTTTTTGCGGCACTGGTGGCAGAGATTTTTTTCGCAAGATGAACTGCTTTTCAATTTCTGGAATTCAGGGGGCAAAAAATCACTGTTTTTGGTTGCTATGATAGTTTTTTCTATTGGGTGTTTTCGAAGTATTTCGAAAGATAATTCTCGAAATTTGTTTTCGGCAGTAAATTGATGATCGGGTTCGTGAAATGACATTCGTCGAAAGAAATAATTAAATTTTTAGAAATATTGGTAGTTAATTTGGCTTTGCAATCAGAATCGACACATCTGTAATAAATACGGCGTTTAGATATTTTGTTTATTGTATAATGAAACCCTTCAAATATAAAATTTGTTCCACTTCGCTGCGATCAGGGACAATTTGAAAAATGTCCATATTTCTGCCGTTTTATATTCGGACATAATTAATATTAAGTCCCTGGAAATGTTATATACTTTGAGATTTTCACGCTTTCTTTCCAATTTTGAATACTGAAATCTGATTGGCTGATTTTTTTTTGATTATTTAAGTATGCCTTAATTGTATGGCGTGCTTATGTATGTCTTGATCTGTTTAAGTATGCCTTCTTTTGTATGGCGCTGAAAAATCCTATTACTTTTGTATGGCGTGTTTATGTATGCCTTGATCAATGTTTGATAATTTGAAAACTCAAAAATTTAAAATAATCATCCTTGAAAAGTTTTTGTTACTCTTGTTATATCATTTGTGAAAATTTGTTTTCTAAGCATTGTTATTGCAAGACCTTGGTGGTCTGAGTAACCAAGGTCATTCTAACGTGTGTTGTGTTGCAACCACGGCCCAAAATTTTTCAGAAAAATTAAATTTAGAAACAAAGAACAACTTTTTGGTTTATGGAAAAAACACCTATCAAACAATTTCCATTTATGGGAAAATTTTATTATAGAGACTTCATACAATTTTCTGTACGTATGGAATTCTATGAAAAGAAATTTCCCTTTTACGAGAATTGTATGATGAGCATTTTCGGTCAACCCGGGTGGGTTTGTTTCCACTGATCCAGTTTTCTCAATTGAGGTTTTTTTTCATATTTTTGATCCATATGAAACACACAGGCGACACATCATTCGTATGCACAAAACAAGCAATCAGATATAACGCTAGTGAAAACTGAGCAAAACTTAGCTCAAATTTTCATTAAAAAGTCAAAATGAGAAAACATAGTAACTTTTCAGGTGAGCATAATAGTAAGGTACTATAACTTTTTTTATTGTTCCAAAATCACCAGAAACCCACACTGCTTAAAGACGAGGATTGTAACAGAAAAAGTTTCAAGTTTGCATTGGTTTAGTGCATTCATTGTTTTGATAACATGAAAAGTTTCGTTGACATTGCTAGTTAAATTTCTTACTAGAAAAAACTGACCGAAGACGGGCCATCGTTTTCTCTGAAACTTCGAAAAACAAACACAAAACTTATTGTAATCCGAGGCATTGATTTCAGCTTAACGCTTGTTGACATATGTCTAATATTACATTTCATTTCATAGTAACAGTGTCCCATTTGAATAATAAATTTTTTTCACTTCAATATTTCATAGTTCAGGGGGGGGGGAGGGATTTATTACTGATAAGACCCCATTCTTTTCAATCTTAAATAAGCTGGTTTCCCAGAAAACATCAAGTTTTCATATTATCAAAAAAATTATTTACTTTGCCTCCAAAGCCCACTCCCCATATTAGCACTTACTCACTTTCAAATAAAAACCATAAAAACGTTAACTTTGTTTGTAAATTTTTAAGAGCACAGCAATCGGCTACGTTAAAAAAAATGTGGTTATCTTCTGTCGAAGATAATTGGTCTTGATGGAGCTTCTTCGAAAAGTGATCGATACGTCATTAGTTCAGCTTGAGCTTGCCGATTAACTAAGAGGTTTGGGCATCAAATCAGTGAAAACTGTTCTTATTATGAATGTAATTGTCCCGACAACTCAGAAAGTTGAAATATTCTGTGGATTTGGGTGGTTTTTCACACCAATTTTGACTTCCTCCAAGAAAGCTTGTAGGGAGTCAAGTTTGGTATTATCTTAAAGCATTTATTGGTCGTAATTCGATTTTTTTTTACAGAAAATTCAGTTTCAAGAGAAATTGATTTTTGATTTTTAGACTTTTTTAGACAAAATTAACGAAACTGGCTGACAATTCCACCCATGTCGGCTAAAATGTCAATGTTTTTTTGGGTCTTATTGTTTTAAACTTCTTTTTTCTCCCAATAAGTCACCCTTTACTAATAAATAGTCATTAAATTTAGAAAAAAATGAAAATAATGTCAGTTTCTTAACTTATATCTTTATTTTGGTTTTTCCTTGAATTATTTTGGTTGTAACATTATGTGCTTCATCGTTTTAGTTTTTTTTTACTCTCGCTTATCGCAAGGGTAAAAAAACTAGAACGATGTATAACAGAATAAGGGTATTGCAATCGGGTACTAGACTTTTTCCAGTAAAAAACCGACCTAAAAGACCCTATGTTTCTACTTTTATCGACCTTTGCTTCGACCTATTTTGCTGTGCTTGACCTATGCTCATCCTGAGCTTGACCTATATTTTATCTCTGCTGGACTGTTTTGACTGTGCTCGATCGCTGTTGCGACTTTTTCGACTGTCAAATACTTTGAAAAATTAAAACTAAACTTTGATGTATGTCTTCTTGATAATTCTTCGTGGTGATGCTACATCTAAACGTAGCTATAAGCAGTACCAGATTTAGGGGGTGGGGCGGGACGGACGCCTTTTTTTCTCTCAGGGATTCGACCCCCTGCCGACCCATAGCCTATAAGAGTAGCTAAAATGCAGAGTACTAGCCGCTAAAGTTATTTTAAATTGATTTTTCCAATTCTGCTTTGATTTTTTAACACAATTGCACTGAAAAGGTTGTTCTGGAAACTGGCATCTGAAAATTTTTTGATAAATTGTTTTCCTGCCGCACAGACAATTAAGTTTCAG